ACTGCCCCCTACCTATGCCTCTGGGCTTTGCCTGTATTCAGAAATGTCTCCTTTCCTCTCCTGCACGAATGAATCTTTCTTCCTTTCAAAATTATGTAAGACCTGGGCTGGGGATGTGGCTCAAGCAGTAACGCGCTCCCTGGCATGTGCGGGGCGCTGGGTTCAATCCTCAGCACCACATAAAATAAAATAAAGATGTTGTGTCTGCCGAAAACTGAAAAATAAATATTAAAAAATTCTCTCTCTCTCTCTCTCTCTCTCTCTCTCTCTCTCTCTCCCTCCCTCCCTCCCTCCCTCTCTCCTCTCTCTCTCTTAAAAAAAAAATTATGTAAGACCTAAACCCTATACTGTACTATTCCATTTCACAGAAATCGCTCTTTTAGATATATGCTTGGCATGCGCTTAGTATCATTTCATAATTATTCATTAATTAATCTCCTATAATTATTTTTTTCTTCCCACTATATTTCTATAGAAACTTAGAGAATATCCATTCCCTCTGTTATATTTGCTAACCTAGTGTAACTAATGAATGTTTAAGGATTTTTTAAAATTTGTTCTAATTAGTTATACATGACAGTAAAATGTACCTTGACACATCATACATAAATAGAGTATAATTTCTCATTCTTCTGGTCATACATGATAGAATCACACTGGTCAGGTGGTCATTTACATAAATAGGGTAATAAAGTCTGACTCTTTCTACTGTCCTTCCTAACCCCGTACCCCTTCACTCCCTTTGCCCAATTCAAAGTAATGCTATTCTTCCCTAGCCCCCCATCCCCACCTTATTGAGAATTAGTATTCACATATCAGAGAAAACATTCAGCCTTTGGTTTTGGGGTTTAGCCTATTTTGCTTAACATGATATTCTCCAGCTCCATCTGTCAACTGGCCAGGCTGACGAGATGAGCTGAGTTTAAAGGAGCCGGATGCGGCAATAACTAAGAAAACAGAAAAGAAACCATGCTCAGTGACCCCAAGGATCAGCTCCATGCTGGGCAGTGCTGGAAAAAGCAAGAGAGAGAGATCACACCCAGAGCACACATATTCCTACTTATTGGGGAAAAGACATTTGATAGAAGATTCCACCCAAATAAGGCAAGGGATAGGATTTCCAAGGGTAGAGTCTTGCTTGATGGTGTCTTGTGGTCAGCAGATTGATTAACATCTTGGCAAGTCACACCCATCTCAGGTGCTGTGTGAGATCACAGGCAGAGTGAGAGGAAAGGCACACTTGAGTTGGCATAACCCATTCAGCGCGCAACGCTAGACCAGTCCCCTCATATGCTCAGATGTGCATATCTCACACACACACAGCCCATGGATGGCTCACGATATCCATCCACTTACTGTCAAATGCCATAATTTCATTCTTCTTTAAGGCTGAGTAATATCTCATTGTGTATATGTACTATATTTTCTTTGTCCATTCATCTGTTTAAGGACACCTAGGTTGGTCCCATAGTTTAGCTCTTGTAAGTTGAGCTGCTGTGAATAAATATTGATGTGGCTGCATCACTGTAGTATGCTGTTTTTAAGTATTTTGGGTATAGACCGAGGAGAGATAGCTGGGTCAAATGGTGGTTCCATTCCTAGTTTTCCAAGAAATCTCCAAACTGCTTTCCAGATTGGCTGTACCAATTTGCAGTCCCATCAGCAATGTATGAGTGTACCTTTTCCCCCACATCTTCACCAATACTTATTATTGCTTGTTTGCTTAATAATTGCCATTCTGACTGGAGTGAGATGTAATCTTAGTTTTGATTTGCATTTCTCTAATTGCTAGAGATGTTGAACATTTTTTTATATATGTTGATGGATTATATTTCTTCTGTGAAGTGTCTATTCAGTTCCTTAGCCCATTTATTGATTGGGTTATTTGTTTTTCTGTTGGTGGTGGTGGTGGTGGTAGTTTTTGGTGTTTTTTGAATTCTTTATATATCCTGGAGATTAATGGTCTATCTGAGGCACATGTGGGAAAGATTTTCTCCCATTCTCAAGGCTTTCTCTTCATGTTATTGATTTTTGCCTTTGCTGAGGAAAGTTTGAATCCATCCCATTTATTGATTCTTGATTTTACTTCTTGCCCTTTAAGAGTCTCATTAAGAAAGTCAAATCCTAATCTGACATGATGAAGATTTGGGCCTACTTTTTCCTTCTATTAGGCTCAGGGGTCTCTATTCTAGTGCCAGAGTCTTTGATCCACTTTGAATTGAGTTTCATGTATGGTGAGAGATAGAGGTTTAATGTTACTTTGTTACATATGGATTTCCAACCAGCACCCTTTGTTGAATTGGCTATCTTATCTCCAGTGAACGTTTTTGGCACCTTTGTCTAGTATGAGATACTGTATTTATGTGGGTTTGTCTCTGTGTCCTCTATTCTGTAGTATTAGTCTATGCATCTGTTTTGGTGCCAATACCATGCCATTTTTGTGACTGTTGTTCTTAGTGTAGTTTAAGGTCTGGTATTGTAGTGCCTCCTGCTTCACTCTTCTTGCTAAGGATTGCTTTGGCTATTCTGGATCTCTTATTTTTCTAAATGAAGTTCATGATTGCTTTTTCTAGTTCTATGGAGATTGTCATTGGGATTTTAATAGGAATTGCATTGAATCTGTATAGCGCTTTCAGTAGTATGGACATTTTGACAATATTAATTCTGCCTATCCAGGACCGTGGGAGGTCTTTCTATCTTCTGAGGTCTTCTTCAGTTTCTTTCTTTGGTGTTCTGTGGTTTTCATTGTAGAGGTCTTTTACCTCTTTTGTTAGATTGATTCCCAAGTTTTTTTTTTTTTKGGGGGGGGGTAGGTTATTGTGAATGAGATAGTCTCCCTAATTTATTTTTCAGTAGATTCATCACTGATGTGTAGGAGAGCATTTGATGATGTTAGTTAAAACTTGGAATGGAGTTGTAGCTCTGTAGTAAAGAGCTTGCCTAGCATACATATGAGACACTGGGTTTGACCCCCAGCACCAGTTAAAAAAAAAAAAAAAAACCTTAATCTTTAGTGGTCTTGTCTTCATTGAATATCCTGTTTAAATCATCTGAAATCATTACTTACTTTCTTAAATTAATATTTGAGTCAATAGTCTTTTTAAAAGAGCATCACTAAGAAATACTAGAGTAGTGTTTTGGGCATTTAAAAAAATATACTACATATAATCATATCTCAAATTTACTTGGAAAGTATATGATGTCAAGATTGTCTCCATTTTTATGCTGCCATATAACCTAAAGAGAATTTCTTGCTTTACTAGATATAGTAGATTGAATATTGGGATCATATAATTATAATGTATATTTAAGGATCCAATATTTAGGATTATTAAGTATTCTTGGTGAACTGGCTTTCATCATTATAAAATTTTCCTCTTTATCATTACTATTAATATTATGGTATTTAATCCTATGTGTCTGTAATCAATATGGCCACTCTAATACTCTTATTAATGTTTGTATGATTTATTTATTTATTTGGGTGCTGAAGATTCAACTCAGGGGCACTTGGCCACTGAGCCATATCCCTAGCCCTATTTTTATTTTATTTAGAAATAGAATCTCACTGAGTTGCTCCTCACCATTGCTGAGTCTGGCTTGGAACTCATGATTCTCCTGTCTCAGCCTCACAAGCTGCTGGGATTACAAGCATGTACCATGGTGCCCAGCTGTATGATTTTTTATATCATTTAACTGTTAACTTATCTGAGTCTTTAAATTTACAGTATATTTCTTTTAAACAGCAAGTAGTTGGGTSTTGCAATTTTATCCAATCTGAAAATCTCTGGCATTGAACTGCAGTGTTTAGTTCATTTACATTTAATATAAATCAACTTTATTTTTTGAAGATTATTCACTAGCTTTATTAGGCTACAATAATCTGTACAATAGTCCTGATCCTAAAGCATGGCCTTTCTAAAAATTCAACTGAATGTCCTTGTTCAAGGAGTTTTATCCACTGGCTGGTTGGAGCACAATAGCCTTCAGTATTTTATGACCTTTAAAATATATGTTCAGTATACAGCTTCTGGGTAGCTCATCACCACATCTTGTAATATCTTGCTATGCTCAGGTATAGCTTAGTACTTACTCAGGTACTCAAGAAGACATCTGGATTTCTGGAACCCTTTTCTTGAAATTCTCTTTTCTCTAGTATCCTGCCTTGTAAATTCCAGCTGCCACAGCAGCCCTAAATTCATATCTCAGTCTTCTCAGCTCAGTCCTGCTGTGTACTGTTTGGGTCCCACCTTTCTGGGCCATAGTCTGGAATATTCCTATATGTAGAAACTCACCATTATGGGGTTCATGTGTATTTCTCTTTTAGGGATTATAATCCTGCATTTCAGATGTAGTAGAATATCTGAAAACACTTGTTTCATGCAATTTTTTCTAGATTTTAGTTGTTTACAGCAGGAGAGTTAGTCAAGCTCTAGTTAATCCATTATAGCCAGAAGTTAATTTTTATAAGGCATATATTTTAAATAATTCTTTTTGAGAAACAAGAACCTAAAACTAAAATACAGAAACATTGACATTATATTATACCATAGAATAATACTGCAATRCAACACTCATTTGTAAGATAAGAAAATTAAGATACATAAGCTCAAGTGACCTATAGTAGGTTACAGTATGAATTAGTCATACAGTTAGCCCATCTCCCAGGTTTTCTCAGTCTTTGTCCACTGTACTCCACACTATAGTAATCTTTTAAAAATTTCTTCTAGTTTTGAAACATAATTTTAAACTATCAAACTTATTTTATTCTCCAGAACTCTTATAATTTAAACATCTTCTTCACCATTTTGTTATATAATAATATTATTAATCCTGTTAATATAGGCATGATAAGTTATTTACAAGCAGCTTTCAGAATAATTGATATGCTATAGAACTATGTAACTCCATATTAGACCTGAAAAAGGTCACATTTAGTTCTCTTAATATAATGGGTTTTCCTCTGTGTGTTTGTGTGTGTATGTATTTTTTTTTTCCAGTTTGTTTTCTTTGCTGTCTAAAAAACATAACAAAGTTCTGGAACAAGCCACACAGTCCTTGAGAGGTTCACTGAGTTCCGATGATGTTCCTCTGCCAGATTATGTAAGTAGTTGCCTTATTTCATCAATAAAATATTCCTCTTATTGTTAAATTTATTAATAACAATATCTCTCTCATGCTCTTAGAAACCTCTGATATACAAATAAAGAAATGAGGTCTCAAAACAATGGAAATTTTTTAAATTAATATCAAGAGGTTGAAGAAAATCAACCCTGAATCAGTAGTTGTTAATTATTAGGAATCCTAACTGAGTCAGGAAATGTACTCAAACTAATTACATAAAAACAAAAGAAGGTATTTTATAGGAAGAGTACAAAGGTTTCTCTCTGAACTTGGGTGGCAGGGAGTATTGGGGCCATAAATACACCTGGATTTCACAAAGAACTAGAACCTAAAATTGAAAATCCATGGATTCAGGAATGTCCTGTTACTGAGGGCCATTTAGTTTCTGATCTCTGATCTGCTTTGCTTCTGCTTTGTTCTTCTGGTGACCAACTGGTTTACTCTGCTTGCTCACTTGAACATATGATCAAAGCCCAACCTTCCTCCTTCTTCACACCAACACGTAACATGTCCTTGGGAGTATAGTGCCTTTAGCTAACTGATCAGAGTCTTGAAGCACCAATTCTCAGTGCCTGTGGGATTTGACATGTCAGTCATGGTCAGAGGTGACAGTAATAACATGTTGTGTGATCCATCCACTTTAAAGATGAAGAACTCATTACCACCTGACCTTGAAGGATGCTGATGGARTACAACAAAAGCAGCCCTGGGGTGAGCCTTGTACCATAATGGGACGGAGAGTGCTGCATTGAATCCCATTAGGGCAGTGCTGCTATCTGTGATGTTTCTCAGGTCTGGAAACATGGCATAGATGAAGACACTAAAAATTATCTTGCCAGAAGTTCATTAAATTCTAATAGAGACATCCCTGAATCTCAGACAACAGCTTAGTGGGTTGATACATGAAACTTTATTGGAAACTTTAAACATTTGTGTTTAAAGTGGCAGTGCCACCAGATAGCTGAAGAGTGGTTTTGCTTATTTCCTGTGGTTTGTTTCATTTCTAAATAGTTGTRCAGATATGAGACTGTGGGAACAGCAATCAGACCGGATATCAGTTGTTGATAAACATACATAGCTATGTGTAGCCACAACCTGACTGGCGTTCTTTTTCATCTTTGTGTGTGTGTACGCGCACGTGCAAGTGTAAACACACACACGCACACACTGTATTATGATATGATGTCATCCCATTTAAGTATTAAGTTTGTAATTTCAAAAAGTTTTTTAAAAATTAGCCTAACAATTCACTTAATTCTATACTTACCTTGACTTGTGATAAGAAAAAAAATCTCCCTCTGATAGCTCCTTGGAAACCCCAGATGCGAGCAGGGTGGCATTGTGGAATTATGTTTATATTAAGAACTTGAGGGAGCTGGGGCTGTAGCTCAGTGGCAGAGTTACTTGCCTAGCATGTATGAATCACTGGGTTCAATCCTTAGAACCMCATAAAAAATAAACAAGTAGAATAAAGGCATGCTGTCCATCTACAACTACAAGAAAAAAACATTTTTAAACTTGAATTTGATTCATCCGTATGTTTTATTATTTTTATGCTATTATTATTTGCTTCACCCAGTATTCCTTTTCATTTTCCCCACAAAATATATTGGATTTATATAGTCCTGAAGTGTTCTTTAATCAGAGATCCATCAAATTGATTTCTTTAAAGGAAATATGTCGTATTTAATGATATTTTCTGGTTATGAAGTTTATGTGCAATGATAGAGGATAGTTTGAAACCAGAGATTTTAATTTTATTATTGAATTCTACAGTTTTTAAGTCACAGTTTATTCTTTCATGAAATTTTCACAAAGTAAAAATGAATTTCTTAACGCATCTGCTTCCTAGGAATAGTGGGAAAGTTTTGTTTGGAATCTGTCACTAACAGTTCTTATTTTAACATTCATATATATGAGACTTCGCAAATCACAACATTTTCCAAATAGGTTTATGAACTTGAGCTTTAATGCCTTAATTAAAGAGGRTGGTTAGCAGCAATTCAGTGGTAGTGATAACTGTGAATCAGTCACTCCCTCTGCCACCAATCTGAAAGTTGATTAATGAAAACAATAGTAACCTTAAAAAATGAGCACTGCCAAATCACTCTTTCATGATAAATCAATATTTTTTGGTAATTTCTGTTGCTCAAAACACTGTTTATGAAGTGATTTATAAATTTGAAATCATTCTCATAGTCATTCTCTTTTAAATTAGTCATGAACTGGGAAAATGAATATGTTCCTCCTTTGATTGATTGATTGATTGATTGTAATTGTAGATGGACAGAATGTCTTTATTTTATTTGTTTATTTTCATGTGGTGCTGAGGATCAGACCCAGTGCTTCATGCATGCTAGGCAAGTGCTCTATCACTGAGCCACAGCCACAGCCACAGCCCCTGTTCCTCTTTTTATTATTCCCCAGAATTTTTACTTGGTAAGTATCTTTACCAACAGCCACATAAAATTCTGTGTCATGGACTACTGCTTTAGACTACTTGTTTATAAAAGATGGAAAAAGAAATTGAAACAGTCCTAATGCAGCAGTGGATTCCAGATGTATGCTCACTATACCAAGATTGAATAAATATATTAGCAAAGAGTTTGAATAAGTGCTTAAAAATAAGGATATGTTTTTCTTCTTACTGTAGTACATAGAGTACTTTCAGTCTACCTAGAGGTTTCTGAGTTTATTAAGAAAATGTTTATGCTCACTATACTGTATAATTCACAAGTCAATTGAGTGAAAACATAGAAAGCAAATTACAAGTTACCAAAACATTAGTATTAGTAGTTTAGATGTCTGAGCATCTCTCAACTAAATATTAGATAATGAGGAAGCTGTCCTGGCTGCTTTGGGAATGGAGGCGGGGTCAGGAAATCCCATGCCAGTCCTCTACAGGGAGCAAGAAGACCCACTGCAGATAGTGCCTCTACCTGAGCAGACAAAGTGACAGTTTGGCTGTGCTTTGCTGTCTCAAATTTAGTGACCAGAAGAACAGAATTGTTGCAGGAAACTCTTTTGATAGTTTCTTAAAATCAGAATGTCCCTTTCAGACTACTTTGGTCCCTTATAACAGAACCTGAATATAGAAAATGAAACAGAGATATGACAAATGACTTTTTAAACTATAACTGTGGCTTTTAAATTGTTAATACTGTCACAGTGTCATATAGGCTTTGTTTCCCTAGTGTCTAACAATTGCTTAACAACTATTTGGGAAGAGAAGAATCTAATTTTTGTTCTAGGAAGAGTCATAGAAATGAAATTATGTTTCCCTTTTGCTCACTGGAGAGCTTTGGAGTCTTTCTGTAGAACTGACCTATCATGTAATTTCAAAGAGTAATGCAGTGGTTAAGTGCTTGCCTTGCACGTGTGAGGTACCGGGTTCAATCCTCAGCACCACATAAAAATAAATACATAAAAAAGATAGTGTGTCCATTTACAACTAAAAAAATAAACAAAAAAAAAAAGTAATTCAAAGGCACAAGGCAAAAAAGGCCCTCACCAAGATAAAACAGGAACCAGAATTGGAAAAACCAACAGAAGTATAAACAGTAGCTGAGGGTCTATCCTTCACTTGCTAAGTAAATGTAATGTTGCCAACATATGCAGACCCATTCCAGTGGTTCTCCAAGTCTCATGTTGGATTTGTCCAGAGGCTACATGACATGTGATAGTCATTGTTCTGACAGGTAACAATGTGTTTGTATATTCTTGTGCTTTAAATTGTTTTTATTTTCAGTTTCTACTATGATAAATACCAATACGTATAATCCACGTGACAACAGATTTTTTAAATTTTATTTATTCTAATTTGTTATATATGACAGCAAAATGCAATTCAATTCTATTACACACATAGAGCACAATTTTTCATGTCTCTGGTTGTACACAAAGTAGAGTCACACCATTTGTAACTTCATACATACCTAGGGTAATGATGTCCATCTCATTCCACCGACTTTCCTACCCCTATGCGTACCCCTTCTCCCTCCCCTTTGCCCTATCTAAAGTTTGTCTATTCCTTCCATGCTTCCCCGCCATTCCCATTATAGATCAGCATCCTTATATCAGAGAAAACATTCAGCATTTGGTTTTGGGGGATTGGCTTACTTCACTTAGCATAATATTCTCCAACTCCATCCATTTACCTGCAGATGCCCTGATTTTATTCTCTTAATGCTGAGTAATAGTCCATTGTGTATATATACCAYAGTTTGTTTATTCGTTCATCTACTGAAGGATATCTAAGTTGGTTTCACAATTTAGCTATTGTGAATTGTGCTGCTATAAACATTGATGTGGCTGCGTCCCTGTAATATGCTGTTTTTAATTCCTTTGGGTATAAACCAAAGAGTGGGATAGCTGGGTCAAATGGTGGTTCCATGCCCAGTTTTCCAAGAATTCTCCATACTGCTTTCCATATTGGGTACACCAATATGCAGTCCCACCAGCAATGTATGAGTGTGCCTTTTCCCCCACATCCTCACCAACACTTATTGTTGTTTGTATTCTTACCAGCTGCCATTCTGACTGGCTTAAAATAAAATCTTAGTTTTTGATTTGCATTTCTCTAATTGTTAGATATGTTGAGCATTTTTTTCATATATTTGTTGATTGACTGTATATCATCTTCTGAGATATGTCTGTTCATTTCCTTGTCCATTTATAGATTGGGTTATTTGGGTTCTTCTTGGTGTTAAGATTTTTGAGTTCTTTATATAACCTAGAGATTAATGCTCTGTCTGATGTGTGTGTGGTAAAAATTTGCTCCCATTCTGTAGGTTCTCTGTTCACCTTGCTGACTGTTTCTTTTGCTGAGAAGAAGCTTTTTTATTTTGAACCCATCCCATTTGTTGATGGAGATTTGGGCCTACTTTTTCTTCTATTAGGTGCAGGGTCTCTGGTTTAACTCCTAGGTCCTTGATCACTTTGAGTTTTGTGCATGGTTTTCCTTGTCCATTTATAGATTG